TTTATAGAGCCAATTAGGCCCGCCTCACCTGGCTTCTGCTCTCTTTCTCCAAGCTCATCTTTCAGCTGCCTCTCTCCGAATCTAACCCTGCGTCCCAGCTCTCCTGTACCCTGGCCTGGTAGAACTTCCTTTTTACTCTTAAGAATCTCTTTCAAAATCCCTCACAGTCTTACCCACCTCCCATTCTCTGCCTAGGACCCTCCCTTCTCCCCTTTAGCATTCCTCAATCGTCCACAAGCACTCCTTCACCAGGCAAATCCTCATGTTCTTGAAAGTGACACCTTCAGAGGCAAATCCTTCTGAAAATCTCTAGATGTGCCCCCTCCTCGCCTGGCCTCTTCACTCCATTTGAAATGTTTCATCTTTGTGTTTCCATAACATCCTGTATTTCCTTCCTTACTGCAGTTAATATAATATTTCATCTAGTCTTTTGCTTTTGTTCCCACTAGAGTACAAACTTTAGGACCCTTCCTGCTTTTGTTTAACACTTAGGTAATACTTACCATGTGCTAAGCACTTATTTCATATAACCTTCATAATAATGTTATGAGGTGCTATTACTATTATTTCATACAGATAAAGAAACTGGGGCAGAGAGAGGTTAAATAACTTGTCCAATTTACATAGCTGGTAAGTTGAAGAGCTAGGATTTGAACACCTAGAATCCAAATTTTTTACTACCAATGTGCTATTTCACTTGTTTTACAGTGTAACATCATCACCTGCCATATAAACAATCCATCCAAGATATATCTGAGTAAAACAAATAAAGAATTACTAAATGAATAAAAGGAACAGAAATGACAGTCTGGTGAAGGTAACAGTGGGTAACAAAGAGGTAGCCACACGGTGAGACAGAGATTAAGTTAAGGAGTCAGTGAAGTTGAACAGAATTAGTCCAAGGAGTAGGAAGACTCTAGGAGAAACAGAAGGTGATAAAAGGAAAGATCAGTGGGGTTGGGGAGCACAGGAAGTCAAGAACAAGTAGCTCTCCAATCAACAAAGGAAAATATAGGCCAGACCAATGAACTTGGCCAGGGTCAGGCCACTGGGGACATTTAAGCAGTTTCCATGAGAGCCAGAAAGAAAAACCAGACTGCCTGGACTTGAGGAGTGAGTGGTGGTGGAGACAGCAGACTGGGAGATCGCGCTCCCTTCCCCTTCCCTCCAACCACGATAGGCAGGATTTGGGAGAGAGTCAAGTAAGGTCTTCTTGTCAAGATGTGATTAGGGCCTGCTTAAAGGCAAGAGGGAACAAATCTTTGGAGATTGAAAAGTTAAACCAGCCTTTACCAAAACAAAGTGCCTCCTATGTGATGGACCACATCATGGTCAACCACACAAAATATAAACACGAGGCAGTCTCCTATCCTCATGTGAAGGAAATGAGAGCCCTACTTGGTAGGAATTCTTTCCTAAGAGGCATCTGGGAGCCTCAGACATGTGGTACAAAAAGCTGCAGTGATGAGGAAGAAACGTGAATTTATTTAGGGACTACTAATGAACAAAAAGCAGATAGAGAGCAAAGCTAGGAAGAGGAAAGTTCAAGATCTCACAGATCCAAAAAGCATGAGCAGACTAAAGAGCAGGGAGATCATAGAACTGCAGTTCAAAAAGTTTCACTCGCCACAGGTGTGACAGTAAAAATAATCCTGAAATTGGGAGCAGCAGGGAAGAAAATGTGACTGGGGTAAACAGTGAGTGGTGGCATCCCCCAAAGAGCCACCTTACAAGGAAGCATGAATGTAACATAAGAGAAGCTGCTGAGGCTGGGACAGAGATGTCGGTTCAAAGACTTGACCTGAAAGGGACTTCTGGAGCTCAAATCCAGAAAGCCTTGGATCCTCAGAACAGGAGCGGGATCCACTATCCTTTCTGGGTAGGGTTTGGCAGATAGGACAAAAAGGCATAGCTGAGTAACATTAGGAAATGAGCCACAGAGTAACATCCAAGCATCTGAGAAGACAAAGAATGTAAAGGACAGCATATTCAACAAACTTCTTTTAACAACAATTTGTTGAGCAGATACTCTGTACCAAGCATTGGTTACCAGCTCTGATGACTCTCAAGGAGTTTACATACTAGAGGAGAGATAAGTCCATCCAAAGCACAGATAACCTACAATGTGGCTAATATTCTACAGAAGAAAAGGAATATAGAAAAAGCCCTGAGGCTTCAGTATTGATAAGTGCCAAAGAAACAGATCTACACACTGTCTAGTATAATGCAGAGTTTACTTTCCTACAGAAAAGAAAGAAGAGTGGCTTCATGCTGAGGGCTGGGGGCTTAGTGTAATCAGAATAAGTACATAAATCCACTAAATTATCTTTTTTTTTGTATGTTGTCACTTTAATTTTTTTTTAAATTTTATTTTAATGAGATAAAACCAAGCAACATAAAACAGAATAAAACCAATCAAAACAAAACAGTGAAAGTGATACAAGACTTCCAAACAGGATAATAGGAAATCAACAGTGGTTACCAGCTGGGCATGGTGGCTCAGGCCAATAATCCCAGCACTGGGGAGGCTGAGGTGGGAGGATCATTGGCAGTTCCAGACCAGCCTGGGCTACAAAGCGAGCTCAAGGCCAGCCTGAACTGCATAGCGAGACCCCTGCTCAAAAAAGACAAAAAAAATAAAAACAAAAACAAAAAACAGTGGTTACCATAATGCCTCTTGTTATCTTCAAAACTGCTGCCCACACCATCAGATATAATGAAATCAAAGAAAACAGAACATAATAAAACAAATCAAAGCAGAACATTGAATAAACAATAAAATGGGACAAAACAGTGAGAAAAATACAGGTTTCAAAAACAAGACAGAAGGAAAGCCCCTATAATTGCTATGTTGCATAGTCATCCTCTAAATAGATGCTCAGACTATCAGCTTTAGGTCTGCAAAGTTAATCAAATAATTCAAGCATTAAGTTGTTTTTGTACCTCAGTTGCTATCAACTCAGCCTGTGTTCTTCCAAATCAGTTTGTTGCTTATGGGAGGAGGAGGTTTATCTCCCAGCCCATGCACTGGCTGGCTCTTAGGAAGAGCGAATTGGCTTCTTATTTCTCCTGCCAGGCCCTGGATGGCTGCTGCTCACTCAGGAAAGGTAAATTGGCTTATTTCTTCTCCTGGGCTGCACATGGCTGTCACTGGGTCACAGGAAGGGCAAATTGGCTGCTTGTTTCTCCCCCTTGGCCCCACATTCCTGCTGCTAGTTCACAGGAAAGGTGAATTTGTATGTTGCTGCTTTTATATTTTTAATGATATTTTTCTGATACTGTACATATTATTTCAATTCCATTGAGCTGATGCCAAAAAAGAACAAATAAAATGCCTAATTTGAAAGAACTAAGTATATTGAAAAGCCTGCCCTGGGGAGAATATCTTTTCCCACAGGTCTACCTTATGGGGGCTGCAACTGTTCAACCACTGAAAATGGTTTGACTGAAACTATTTGAGTTTCACCAATGCTGGATAGTCATTTTTGAAATTTTTATCTACTATTCACCTAGGGAGAACTCTTTTGAATATTTTTATTTTGTCTTTTTGAGACAGAGTCACTATGCTGGCCTCAAACTCACTTTGTATCCCAGGCTGGCCTTGAACTCACAGTGACCCTCTTGCTTCAGTCTCCCAATGCTGAGGTTATAGGCATGTGCCACTATGCCTGCTTGAATACTTTAAATGTATTTTTATTTTTTTTAGATTTTATTTAAGGAGAAAAAGAAAAAAAAAGCAGAGAAAGGGTACAAGTTATACAGATTTACAGAAAAAAATAAACAGTAGGAAATCACTAGTTAATGGATTACATTTTGTCATCTCAGAAACAATTGTTCAAGTTACAAAATTAAAGCTTATAAAGTGGACATTCCAACAGTGAGACTGCAAACAGTTCTGTTCAATGATCCAACAAAACTCAGTAATATCATTATCTATCTTATAAACTTAAATATACATGCAGTTATATCGTTTAGAGCACTTTCTTTTCCTCTCTTTTGTACAATGACAATTACACATTTTGGGTTTTGTTGCTCCCACAGTTCTTATTACTTTTTTGGAAGAGAGTAGAACCAAATGTGACATAACAGAACAGTCAGTCAAATCAAAAGGGTGGACATAATAGATAATGTAAAAGCTTAAATGTATTTTTAAACACGGCTTCTTTTCTGGTTAAAAGAGTAAGGCACAATCCTTGTGGAAAAGTTGAAAAGAAAGCCAGGTGTGGTGGCGAATGTCTATAATCTCAGCACTTGGGAGGCTGAGGCAGGAGGATCTTTACGAGTTTGAGACCACAGTGGCTACGAAGTGAAATCAAGACCAGCCTGAACTGTATAATAAGTCCCTGTCTCAAAAAGATAAAAAAGAAAAGTTGAAAAGAAAGTATAAGGGAGATTTCTTTATGTCTTCTAATGTGAACTAAAGCACATTTCTCAGCAGTTCCTGTTCATATATACATATATATCTATAAATAGATAATATATACTATATATAGTTTAATGTATATATTATTCCTAATTAGAAGTCTTGTGATTTGTCCAGGCATTGTGGCACATACTTATAATTCAAGAGTATTGCAAGCTTGAGGCCAGCTTGGCAGCCTGAGTAACATAACAAAAATATGACTTAAAAGCAAAAGAAAGAAAAGAGAAAGAAATTTTGTAATTCTTTAACCAAAGGATACTCTATACAACCACTTGACCTAATGTCTTTATTTGGCAGCCTGATTAATTTTTGTCAAAGTCAATTCTGAATAATAATATGCCACTTTCAGGCAGCCAGATAAATGCACCTTGCTGTTTTATTCGTGGTAATTTATTACATAGCAATAAGAAACTAGCACACCAGTCCCCACTAGTCCTGTACGTTCAGTACCCTAGCCCATGTAGATAGTGTCTTTTCCTATCTTATTTGTATCAGAATGGAAATGAGAGCTTCTAGTATCAATCTCGTCCTTATTTTCCCATTAATGGGCCTGAAATGTAAATGCAAGAGTACTGTCTCTGGCTGCATCAGTCAATGTTTACTAGAGAAATAGATAAGACACAAGATATACAAACATATAAGGATTTACAAGATTGGCTTACAGTGGCCACCCACAGTGTTGGATGAGGAAGCGCGTAGAGGGTGTCTGTATGCTGGAGACTGAGTGATTTTGTCCAAGATATGGAGCTCACTGCAGTGTCCACGCCAGGCAGGCCGATGGGTCTGCCATGGAAGGCTAAAGAGTCGACACCAGAAGGCTGAAGACTGTGCTGGAAGCTGAAGGGTCTGCACTGGAAGCCAGGGGATGATGTCTATGGTGAAGACAAAGATTGGAGCTCCTCCAAGGAAGCAGAAGCTGATCTGTCCTTCTTCATTTCCCCTTCACATGATCCATATGACAAGCCATCCCCCTAGGCTGGGTCTTCCACAGCCTAGAGTATAGAATTGCTGAGCCAATTTAGTTGAGCTTCTCTTACTCAAATTGACACAATCAACCATCACAACTAGCTGAATTGTTATTTATACCATTCCTTCCAACCTAGGTTCTCTCCCCCATCTACTTTTTTTGTTGTTTCTGTTTGTTTTTTGAGACAAGGTCTCACTATGTAGTTCAGGCTACTGAGGAGATTTTCCTGCCTCATTGTCCACGGTGCTGGGATTAGAGGCAAATGCTGGGATTACGGGTGTGTGTCACAGTGCCTGGCTTCCTTTCCTTTTGTGCCTTGTCTGTGAAAACTTCTGAACTTCTAGACCGTTGGACCCTGGGTCCTATAGCACTTTTATTTGCACCATTTGCTTGTCCTTGATTCAGATTGTCATGTGAACTCTTCTGAAATATGTATTTTTTATATGTATAATATTAAGAGCATGTGCCAGGCACGGTGGCACACATCTGTAATCCCAGCACTTGGAAGGCTGCAGCAGGAAGATCACTGTGCGTTCAAGGCCAGCCTGAGCCACACAGTGAGTTTAAGGCCATCCTGAATAACAGAGTGAGACACTGTCTTTTAATAAAAGGAATATATAGAACATGTGCACAGGGTGTCTACACAGAATGTGTAAAAAATTATGCACACAACTGGGTGGTGGTGATGCACATCTATAATCTCAATACTGGAGAGGCTGAGGCAGGAAGACTGCCATGAGTTTGAAACCAGCTTGAACTACATAGCAAGACTCTGTCTCAAAAAACAACAAAAACTTGGCTTACAGTGGCCACCCTCCCCCCAAAAAAGATAATACATATTCATAATATTCATATAGTATGTGTGACTTTCTCTCCCCGTTGAGATAGTAAATGTGTGATTTTTTTTTCTCCCCATTGAGTTTGTAAACTCATTGAAGCTCAGCATTCTACATCATGCATGGCATATAGAAATATATATATACATATATGTTTATATATATATATATATATATATATATATATATATATATAGAGAGAGAGAGAGAGAGAGAGATGACATGGTAAACCCCCCATGTGTAAAGGCCGTTCAGACCCAACAGAGGTGGAAAAGTCAGAGGCGGGCCAGTGTTTCAGAAAGCTCAAAGAAACTGAAGAGGTCGGTACATACAAAACGCCAGTTTAGTAACTGTGTTCTGTTTCCTAAGTGCATTAACATATACATGGAACACAAAGCTAGCAAATGAAAAACAAATGAATCTAAAAGAAAACGAGCAAGTCTGGCCAGGAAAGAAGTCTGCTGCTTGTGAAATGTTTTGGTCTTAGCCACTGGCAGGATGGATCAATTGCAGTTAGCAAAGCGTTTTCTGCCTAGCCTGCCCGAGCATCTGCTTCTGTACTTCTGTACAACTGTTGCTCAATTTACACTTTCTTTCGAATCTCCAGCTCTGAAGAGCGCGAGAAAATTCATCCAAACCACCCAAAGGAATTATGCTAAAAGCTTCCAGGTCGCTTAAAGGCAAATCCAAGCCTGGCTAGGATCCTTAACTTTTCCCCTTACCCCCTGCAAGGGTTCAAACTTCAACTCCCAGGGTTCGCCCAAGTCCCGCCCCCTGCCGTGTCATCTAATGAATATGCAAACGCACCATAATTGACAGCCAATGGCGTGGGTTCTAGTCACATGGTGCCGGTGGTAGGTGAGCAGACAGAAGTTGTGTGTCTGCGAACAGAGAGGGTTCTCAGTCTGGGCGAGCGCTCTAGGGAGCGCAGACGGATGGTTAGGCTGTAGTCCTGGCAGTGGCGGCGGCGGCAGTAGTGGCAGGAGGAGGGAAAGGGTGGGCCCCGAGGGCTACACACGTTAACACTTTCAAGTTCCCTCGCTGGGAGAGGTGGGGCCGCAGAAGAAGGAGGCCAGGAGCTGTCCCATCTGTCCCGTCCCGTCTCCCCTCTTCCTCTTGCTCCCTGTGCCCTGGCTCTGCAAGAGTTGAGGGTTCGCGTGGCCTTACGTGGCAGTGAGGGCGAGAGGGCCGGGAGAGAGGGAGCAGGGCCAAGGACGCGCGAGGAAAGATGCCCATCCTGCTGTTCCTCATAGACACGTCCGCCTCCATGAACCAGCGCACTGACCTGGGCACCTCCTATTTGGACATTGCCAAAGGCGCTGTGGAGTTATTCTTGAAGGTAAAGGGAGGGGAGGGGAGAGACACGGCTGCATCCCGAGGGGCGGGAGGGGCGGGTTGAGGTGCTTCTGTAACGTTTGCATTGCCCCCCACTTCCCTACGCGATCTCCCCCCACCCCGTCACCCTCGCCCCGCAGCTACGCGCCCGAGACCCCGCCAGCCGCGGAGACAGGTACATGCTGGTTACCTACGACGAACCCCCATACTGCATCAAGGTGAGCGGGCCGTCGGGAGGGCGGTGGGCGGGAAGCGGGCGCGGGTCGGAGGGGCTGCTCGCCCCCTGGCCCCGCCCGCGGCGGTCCTGCGTCGCCCGGCTGGGCGGGCGGGGTGGGGGCCGCAGAGGGCGGGCGGAGCGCTGCTGTCAGCGGCTTCCGAGGAGCCGGGGCGCTGCGGCCCCGTAGAGGGGCGGAGGAGGGGCAGCCCCGGGGCGACGCCGCGGGAGGGCCGAGCTCGTGGCGCTATGGTCGCGGTCGCCTCGGAAGATGGCGGACATTTTGCTTTTGTATGAGAGAGGGAGACCGAGGGCGCTGCTGAGATGGAAAGGAGGGAGGGGAGGGTGGAGAAGAAGGAAGGAGGGCCCGAGCCCTGGAGCGGGGCTGGGAGGCCGCCCGCCCCCTCGGGGCTTGCAGCGCGCCGGCTGCGGCTCCGCCGGAGGTGCCAGGGCTGGGCGCGCGGGCTTTCCCCAGCGAGCAGCGAGCGGAGCGCCGGCTCCTCCTCCGGTTCCTCCTTCCTCTCCGCCCCGGCCCCGTCTTCCTCCCCCGCTCGGACTCTCGGTGGCTTCTCCTTCTCCCCCTCTTCCTCCCGCTCCCCACCCCTCCCCTTCCTGCCGAGAGCGTGGCAGCGCCAGCCGCTGGCCTTCAAAGGCCACGCTGCTGCTTTTGGACTCTGTGGCCTCGAACCCACGCCCGCCCAGTCGGAAATGTGCCCACTCGAGGCAGCTTCTCACCCTCGGGCCGGGAGATACACATTTCCTTGCTGTCCCCACGCGATCAGGTTCAGACCTGCTCTCGGTTACCTTAGTGACCATTGCTGTTTCGCTGGAGATTGCAAGGCAACGTCGTGGGCTACAGATGCCCAAGCAGAAACCTCAAGGGGTTTTGAGAGAACCACCTTTTTGGTTTCAGAAACTGGGTTTGTGCTAGCCGCGGAGGGATTCATCTAGGGACATGCAAGAATGGAAGGAGACTCGACTGTGAATTCTTAGCTAGTCAGACCCAATGATTTGATTCTCAGGGTTCTGACCCACAGCGGAAAATTAGGGAGTACTTGGCCCTCGTGAGGGGTAGTTATGTTCCCATGGTGAAGAGATAAAGAACTCCTTTGCCTGCAGCGGTCAGATAAAATACAGCTCGAACTGTTAGGTCAACCTGTGTAAGGTTCATGCTTTCATATTGAAATTGAAAGAATTATGAGCATAATCCTTGGCGTCTTTTAGCACATTGTCTCTGCTGAATTATCTCGAGATGCAGTCTGGACGTGTCGTGATCCATTTTGATAGTGTGACGTGTTTTAATGAATGGAACCTACCAAACTGAAAGGTTGGGCTGAGGATCTAGTTAAGCCATGGAGCCTTTGCCTAGCTTTGGGGTCCATCCTCAGTTTGGGGGATCCAGGGAGGACCTGATCTGAATAGTTGGCCAAAGAGGATTCTTTCAGACAGGAACCAAAGGGATACTTTAATTTGGGAACTCCTGGCTTCAGTTAACAGATCAGTAGGTTCCTCTTAACACTGTTACAGTTTCATTGTTTGCTTTTAGTTTGTTTTTTTTATGTATTCAGAAAAATTGAGCAAGTGAACATCTTTCAAAATGCCCTATGCTTTTTAAAAAGTGTGGTCACTTTTTTAGAAGAGCAGATGCTTGCATATCCGGCGTCTAATTCTCTACACCCTGTGACTACTAATACAGAATAAAACCGACCATTTGTAGTGTGCCCATTGGAAGGCTTGTTGCTTAATTTGAAGTAGTAAAAAGGGCAAACTGTAAAGCAATGTGCCTACTTTTTGTTTTCTTTAGAAAAACAACCTAGTTAGCATTTTCAAGTGCGATGACTACTTGTATAAAAATAGTTCTTGATCTATAAAATACACCTGGCAGTAATAATAGTCCTTTCCTTTGGAAAAAAAAATGTTTCATTACTACCCCCTTACCCATCATTACCTCTCTTCACTTAGCACTGCAATCACACTGTACATATTACTTTGTATCATGTATCACTTATGTTACTTCAAGAACTATTCTGGGTTGCTACATAGTTTTCCTGTTTAAAATTTTTAGTGACCGTGTATCTTATCTATGTTTTTTTAGTGGACCAGAGGAAAAAAATTGGATTTTATTTTTAGTGGAAAAGGCAGCTGTTTTCTTTGTTCTGCCATCTTATATAGTACAATTTTTCCTAAAGGAAAAAAATCTTTCGAGTGTGACTTGATTTCCCCATGTAGGTCAGATATGGGAAGGTATTCCATATAATTTTTAATTCTTAATCATTGATTGTTTTCATCTTAGTCTGTATGCTTTCTGGAGGTTTTTCAGGTTCTCCTGGGTGATAACTACATCTTCCAGAAAAAGGATAATGATCTAATGATGTTCTTGTTATTCTGTATATACTAGAATTACCAAAGATAACCCATATTTTGTTACTATTTTCCGTTTCTGAGTCTCTTTTTTGGTCATTCCCTCTTATTGTCCCCAACTTGTCGATCAGCATGTGGTAACTATTTATTTCTTTCTCTCAGGATGTAGTCTGCTTGGAAGGTCAGAACTTTGAGAGCATCTGGTGGTTTTCTTAAAATTTGAACTCTTTCACTTGCTAATAGTTGTAAGCTAGGAGCCATAAGTGTCTGTTTTCTGTCACACTGATTAAGGACTAAGTCTTCCTTGATTGTCAGCAGGCCTCTTAGTTCCTCCTTGAAGCTTCACTCTTCATTAAAGGCCTGAGGACTTTTCCACAGTGATGTTATGTTGGGCGGGATTTTATTGGTAGCTTATTTATCTGGAGAAGGCCGAGTGTATTTTTCAGTTTCTCTAAGGTTAGAGAACCGTCATAACTATTTAACTCTCAGGTCTTAGGTATATTCAGCTTTACACACTGCAAAATGAATTTTAGTTTTTACTAGAAGATTGATTTCTATTGGTAGTGTATGAGGTATGTATGAGTTGTGTGTTTGGGAGTTTTTCCCTTAACAGGTGTGAAACTATTCCCAGAATATCCCCTTACAAGCTCTGACAATAAATCTTGTGAAAAGTTACTGTGACTGGAATTTTTGCTAATGTATACTGTCGAGTATGTAAATACAGTATTTCACTGATGACTTGATGCATACGTCTTAGCACAGAGCTCTATGCTCTTTTAAAATTAATGATACTTGTTACTTGCAGTTAACTCTCCATAGATGGAATGAAGTTTGGGGAACATATAAAAAGCATATGAAATTTAAAAATTGTGTACTGCATCTGTTTTAAGTGTTGCTTTGTATACAAGTTTTATATACAGTGTTATGTGTGTTAGCACTACATTTATATGGTGCATCTTTAATGTACACAGCTAGTATGAAATCCCATTTAATATTTTAAAATTTACAAAGTGTCTTGTAAATCATCCTTAAAAATAGTTTGTAGGGTTTCTTTTGGCATAATAGTCCCGAATAGTCTTGGCTGAGGTTCTGCTGTTGTATGTTTTTGTTTCGTTTTGTTATGAATCATAATTTCCTTTTATTCAGTGACTGGAAGGGGCAAGCTTGTCAGAAGGAAGTAAGCCGTTACACTAAGATATACACTAGTATAAGAATGCCAAATGGTTTTATATTTCTTAAAATCGTTTCTTGTTTATTCAAGGAAATTATTTTTAATGTAAAACAAAGTCACTTTTCTAAAAGTACTGATCAGAATTTTTCATAAATACGGTAGGAAGAGATTATGTTTCCAAGAAACAGCCTAAGCTGGTAATTGGAAAACAGGCAATATTTGAAAAGTGAAATTTTCCCTTTAGTGGTGCTTTTTCACATTATGTAGCTAACTTTGCTTAGTGCTGGCTGCCATTTCTTTGTCAGTGTCTTTGTATCAGGAAAAGGGCAGCATTTTGACTTACAGATTAAGTGAGTGATCTTGAGCTTTTAAAATGATACATGTTGCAGACATTTACTAGAATTTTGACTAAGGCATAACTTTTCTGTAAGCCATGAATATATTTTATGGATCATATTTGGAAAAAAAAAGCAACATTTCAGGGAGCCCTTCAGCATAGTTAGCACGCTGTGGAAGTGCTTTTGGTGAAACACTAGCAACATGGACTGTGAGAACAATCTTAGAGAATGTAAGATGCTTTTCAAACATTAACACTTATGTGTTTCCCCCATGATTTTGCTTTTTCACCTTTCTCACTAACTATTTGAGGCATGTGGCAGGAGTTATTTTGGAATAAAAAAGGAGGGTTAATTGGAGAAGTAAATATAATCTTTAGACTAGGGGCCAGCTGAAAGATAACTCAGAAATACGAGCAAAATTGTGAAGGCCTCTCTGTTCTGTGTTCTCATGAGCCCTCCTGTCCGTTCACTCTTATTTGCTCAAAGTTGCAACCCTCATCATTTCTCACCTGGACCACTGTTGTCGCAGTCACTCATCTGGAAGCCAGTCTTGCTGACCACTGATTCTTCCCCTTCACTGCCAGCACATGAATAGTCTTTAAAAAATAAGTCTTTTTCCTATGACAAAACCTTCAGTAGCTCCTCATTGCACTTCAGAATAGAGTCACACACCTCCAGAGCCTTTCATAACTTGACTTTGTTACCTTTGCAACTGCTGTACCTTTTTCTTCACGCAGACTTCAGCTCCAGTGGCGAGGAGGAATTTAGCTCTCTCTGGATGCATGATGCCTCTTGTGCCTCTTGCTTCTGTGCAGTTGCGTACTCGTTTCCTTCCCCTGGGATATATTTGTTGGCCTGATATACCCCAGCTTGTCATTCCACCTTCTCAAAAATGATCTGGCCCCTCTTCTTCCTTATTCCTAGTCTTGGTAGTGTAAAAACTCCCTCTGTTGTCTCTTAACACTTTCTCTATACCCTAACTCTAACTCTGCATGTATGTGTGTGTGTGCGCGTGCACGCATGTGTATACATATGGTGATATTGTGGTCCTAGAGATCAAAGCCAGGTCCTCACACATGGGAGGAAAGCAGCACCATGTTAATATTGGCCTGCTTTCTAAGGGCATATATTTGA